GGGCTCCCAGGGTCTCCGGGGCCCTTTCTAGGACACCTACCACCCTCTAGTCTAACTGTCTGGCTCCGGGTCTGTCTTCCACAGAATGCAGTCTCCACAAGGCATGTGGAATTTTACCCCTCTGTCCTCGGCGCCCAGCACAGTGTGTAGCCAGTGTTCACACTCAGTAAGATGGATGAGGTCATTCAGGAAGGCAGCCAGGAGCTTGCAGAGTCTAGCAACTCACACCCGCTTCACCCTCTCATCCCCTGATTCACAAACCTGTTCAGGTGGAGGCAGAGAATGCGTGGAAGAGCCATCTCGTGCAAACCATGAACACCCTTCGGAGAAACTGTGACATTTCCGTCAGAAGCATGCTTGTTCTTCATACCAGTTAAGCTGTCAGATTAAAACTGATGGGCCATTTCCTCATTCTTCAGCCCATATTCTTTCGCTACTTTATGCATTCATTTCATCCAGGAGCACTCTGCCAGCAAACAAAACTGTCAGGGGAGGAGGGGAAGAGCGAAGATGTAAGAATAATAAAAAAGAGAACATTTTACACTGAGCTAATTCTACCCATTGCCTTTTGTTTTTTGGATGGATTGGGAGAGATGACCGATTTGCCCCGGTCTGCTTTGTCCCACTCTCAGACCTTTGCCTTTTGGGATACTCCACTCCATCCTTAGTCCTGATTCCTTACATCCTTTTCTTGGCCTAAGCACCATTTTCCCCAAAATAAGGTCCCAAAAAGAAAGGGGAATGGATGCAGTGGCCATTGGGGTTATGGTGTGAGCTCTTGGCCTGAGTTTTGTCCTTTAATCCTCCCAGTGTCCCTAAGAGGTCAGTGGTGTTGGCTGTCCCTGTGTTCCAGAGGAGGAAACAAAGAGCGGCGATCCCTGCCCAGGACATAGGGCCAGGGAGAGTGCAATTCACCCAAAGGCCGCAATTTTGACCACCATGCACTATGGCAGGTTGACCAATACCACAGGCCCTGGGGCTTCGCTGTTAGGGACTGAGGAGAGGGGATTGTTAACACCCAACTCCCCTCACCCCAGCCTGCAGCCCTTCATTCCCGACAGCATGGCTGAGACTCCCGCCTGTTATCTCTTAGATTAGCCCCCAGCTATTTTTATTCTGCCCTTGCTTAGGGAAGAAATACAGATTGGGCAAACCCTCAGGCCGGGCCCCAGGGGAGACCGCCATTCACCAAAGAAGAAAACAGAGCTTATTTTACATTTTACTATCTTTTTTTAAAAAATCTTTTCTCCTTAGAAGCATCTTCAAATTGAGTCACCCTGTTAGATCCCCTCCAGCAGGGCCTTTTGGGCCCCTTAAACTCACCCACACAGTGGTGGAGGCAGGACTTGTACCTGTTGAATGAAGTACTATCTCCTGGGCTGGAGGCAAAAGGAGTCAAGGGGAGGAGCTTGGTGGAGGGAAAAGGAACCCAGGAAGGGGAAATGAGAGGATGTCAGGGAACACAGAGAAGCCTGCAGAAGCCCAGGCTGTGTGTGGGAGAGGTCAGGGATGAGCTGAGGTGAAGGGACCTCGGGGACATCTGAATGGAGATAACAGGGGGTGTCCAGAGCTCACCTGAGTGGAGATAAAACTTTGGTTTTTTTTTTTTTTTTCTATTTTTGAATTTTATCTTTTTATTAAAAAATTTTTTTAATTTATTTTATTGAAGTATAGTTGATTTAGGATGTGTTAATTTCTGCTGTTATACATATATATTCTTTTCTATTATGGTTTATTACAGAATATTAAATATAGTTCCTATGTAATGCTATTTTTTAAATTTTTAAAAATTTATTTTATTGAAGTTGATTTACAGTGTTGATGTCTGCTGTACAAAAAGTAATTCAGTTATACATATATATACATATTCTTTTTCATGTTCTAACTTTGACACTCTTGATGATGGTCCTTTAGATGATGGTGACAGCTCTGGGGACATGGATAGATCAGCTTGCCTTTGAGAATATGTAGACCTGGAGAGGGAAGAAGATCACTGGCCATCGATGATTGAACTCATGATCGATAGACTGAATCTCCATCCCCTTTCCCCTCCCTGGAGGTTGGGAGGTAGGACTGTAAGTTCCAATCCACTAATCATGTGGTTGATTCCCCTGGCAACCAACTCCCATCCTCTGTGCTTTCCAAAATTCTCCTCCTGAACATAACAAAGGACAAATCTATCCCTCCTTTATCGTAGGAAATTCCAATGGTTTTAGGACCTCTGTACCAGGAACACAACGAAGACCAAATATATATTTCTTATTATGAATCACAATATCACAGATGCTCCCACGGTAGTCCTTTGCTCTAGCTGGTCCCTGTGTGGAACCCTATTCCCTCCGCCGTCCACTCTGCTCAAATCTTGCCTGTCAATGTGGCCAACTGTGACCTCCCAACTTAACACTGCAAACCTGCCCTCCCCCATTCCAAATCTTCATTAGCTGGGGCCACATTTCCCAAAACACTTATTTTCTAACATAATGAATGACTTATTTAGTATGTTAATTTTTAAATTGAAGTACATTCAAGTATTATTGATTAATAATAGTAGTTTCATGTATACAGCATAGTGATTCAGTATTTTTGCAGATTATACTCCATTTTAAGTTATTACAAGATAATGGCTATAATTTTCTGTGCTATACAATATATCCTGTTGTTTATCTATTTTACACATAGTAGTCTGTATCTGTTAATCCCATACCCCTAATTTGTCCCTCCTCCCTTCCCACTCCACTTTGGTAACCACAAGTTTGTTTTCTAGGCCATTAATTATCATCTGCCCACCCTCCCCCCACGTACTACAAGTTCCAGGACGGCAGGGAATCTTTGTTTTGTTCACTGAGTATCCCTAACATAGTGCCTGGCACAAAGTAGGTGTTCAGTAAATACTTGAATGAATGACCCCTTGAAGACTGTTCTAATACTTTTAATTCCTTGACTGTCGGCTAAGCAAAATGGAGAATAGAAGCTTGCCTTACTGCTTAACAGTGAAAATTAAGGTGATTCATGAAATGTCTTCCAAAAACTATACAGGTAAACTTTGTACATTTGCGTGTTTTTAAAATATCTGGTATCTTTTAAAAAAGAAAAAATCCATGAGAGCATTTCATGCGGACGGATGGAAATAGTCTACACATAGCAAGACCACAGAGCAAATGTGAGTACTGCCCCCTCCTGGTTGAACATGGAGGTGTGGCTTTCTGCACCACCAGCCCCACCGGGGACGACTTACGGACCTGGTGGGGTTGCGAGATATGCTATCGATGACATTTCAAAATGGGTCACATTCAACCCTATTTTCAGACGGAGGCAAGGAAAAGAGGAATAAAGTGTCAAAAGGAGAATTTCTAGGGAGTACAGAGCCCACACATTTCCATATTGTGAGGAGGATGTTGACAATTAGTGGAAAGTAGTAAAGAAAAATGTTAAGCAAGAAAATCCTAACATGATCACATCCATCTGCTGCACTTACAGCTGGAATCTGAGTGGGAATTTCCCATCTGTGCTTTAGTCTCAGCTTTAATTTGACTATAAATAAGACACACACATGCACAACTTGCACTGAGTGCCTTTTGGGGCCAGAAGTTGTTTAAGGATGAGATATATATATATATATATATATATATATATATATATATATAAACTGTGTATACTTTAACTCAGAACCTACTCATTAAACTAGTCAGTCTGAGGTGTGCAGCCAGTCTCTTCTAACTTGGTCCCAGGACGATGTGACACTTCATAACTGAGGCCTTAACTGTTGACATCCTCTGCTCAAACAGATCTAAACAGAACTTCTGATGCCCAGGCCAGCTTTCCCTGGAGAACCTGGCTGTTTGCTTCAGGAAACCTTGGGGCCCAGAGGCCTGAAGGTGGCTGGATTTGGGAAGCCCATGGCTCAGACAGAAGCTGCACTTGCTACTTTACATTCTTGTGTGATTCTCAAATGGACCCTACAAGCATCTAGATGGACTATCACCCCCACTTTACAGGGGGGGAAGTTGAAGCTTAGTGACATAAGGTAACTTGCCCAGGGTCATGTGGTTCCTTAGTGGCAGAGCCAAGACTCAAAACCAAGTCTTTGAAGCAACGTTCAAATCCACATGTTCTTTTCACTTTCCCCTCTGCCCCCACATTACCGTCCCAGGGCTTCTGGGGCTATAAATAGTGGGGGAGGCTGGGATTTTGTGTGCGAGGTCAGCCAGGCCTTTAGCACAAGGAGACACTAACATCTCCCAGCCTGGCCTAGCCTGGGCCCTGCTATCCCCCCAGGCCTCAACAGAACTCAGGCCCAGACAGGCCCCAGCTTATCACCAGCTTCACTCTCTTGGTTATATTTAGCTCTGGACCTCAAAGAGAAAGGTGTGGGCCAGCCCCTGAGACAGTGCACACCCCCAGGCCAGGCCAGGCCACTGTGCGTAGAAAGAGGGTGTCTGCCTCATCCTCTTCAGACACTGGTGTGAGCCTCCTCCAGGGGGGGCTGGGTGCACCCTCCTTCCTGAGAGTCTGCGGGATCTTGTTCATCTTGCTCCTTGAGGGAGGGACCACGGCAGTGTCTGTGACACCCTGCATGCGGCTGTTGATTAATCACTCTTTGGTGAGTGAACAAATCAGTGATCTAAATTCATGTTCTAGAAATCTGGACATCAAGACAGGCACACGAATTCCCAGAGGGATACCTTAGAAAACCGAATGCATTTCATGCTGTTAAATAGTCAACTTGGGACTTCCCTGGTGGTGCAGTGGTTAAGAATCCACCTGCCAATATAGGGAACAGGGGTTCGGGCCCTGGTGCGGGAAGATTCCACATGCCGCGGAGCAACTAAGCCCGCGTGCCACAACTACTGAGCCTGTGCTCTAGAGCCCTAGAGCCACCACTACTGAAGTCACATGCCTAGAGCCCGTGCTCCGCAACAAGAGAAGCCACCGCAATGAAGAGTAGCCCCTGCTTGCCACAACTAGAGAAAGCCTGCGTGCAGCAATGAAGACCCAACACAGCCAAAAATAAATAAATACATTTTTTTAAATAAAAAAAAAATTTAGTCAACTTTATTCAAGGAATGGACGTGAGTTTCCATCCTCCTCTTTCTCCCCCTTTTCTCTTCCCTCCTCCAGATCTGGCATTAAGGCTGCAGTGGGGGAGGGGGACCCAAGAGGGGCATCAAATCCTGGAGGCCAGCCCGAGTGCCTCAAGTGGCAGCCACCCACAGTGTGGGACAGCTCTTGGAGTCCCTTTGTCTCTGCAGGTGTCCCGATGACAGGCCTTCCTCCCCTTGCTCTGTTCGCCCCTTACACGCCAGCCACCTGCAGAAGCTCCGGGAGGCGGGGCTGTGTCTCCATCGGACCTGCTGAGCGACTGGAGCAGACTGGGGGGCGTGGATCAGTCTGGTGGCCGGGGCCAGAGCTCAGGAGTGTGGCTGGATCCTGACACTGGAACTCAAAGGGCAAAAGCTGGCAGCTCTCAGATCTTACAAAAACGGAAAGAGCCGCTTTTTCACAATATAGAGAACCGTAGCAAGAAAGAGGGCGAGCGCAAGGAAAATGAGAAGCTTGTCAGTCAGCTCTCGGCGATTATATTTTGTGATGAGCTTCCGTCCCAACTGGATGGTCCCCGACATGGACTTGAATTCTTCATTTGCATCCAGGATAGTCCGTGAAGAATTAACTGAAACAAAAGAGGGAGGGAGCCTGACTAAGAAACTGTACAACACAGAATCCAAAGACTCTGCTCTGCCAGCTGGGTTCCCAGTAATTAACACTGTGCTCGGAAGCAAGTTCTGAGCCAGGGCAAAGGATGTGAACAGACGCGACGCAGAGGAGCACAGAACAAGGACAGGGCAAGGAGAGGCACTTCTCTGGGTCCCATCCAGCTCAGGGAAGGAGGAGGTTTGTTTACATACAGTCACAGGGCCATAACTAGGAGTCCTCCCAACATGGACATAACCAGGGAAAAGGGCAGAGGACGGTTCCTTTCCTCACCACCAATCTCCGCTTTCTGGAGGAGGCAGGCGCTGCTGAGAAGAACCCCCGGCCGCAAAACTAATGCGGGTGCCGTGGACAGGCACTGTGAGGTCTCTGTGGGGGCAGGGCTGGGGGTAGGACTTGCCGCCTGTGAGGTGCACCCGCCAGGACGCCTGGTGGTCAGATCTGCTCTTTGTGGGATCGTGAAGGGGCAGGGATGTCCTGGGTCCTGCCACATGCCCTCACACATGCCTGTCCTGCAGTCCTGGGACACTGGCTGTAGCTTTAAACACGTGACACCTGTGCTCCAGCCCCTGTGTGAAACCTACAAGGAGGCACGTGTCCCTTAAGGCTCGTTGTGCCCACATGTCAAACTAACTGGAGTGTGGGTTCCTGGACCTGACACTTGAGGAAGAAGGTTTCCCTGGCAAGATTCCTCTAAAGGGCATCACCAGAACAGCCACAGAATGAAACATGTTGTCGGGTGAGAAGGTGAGGCATGAAGGACAACATGTGAAATGTTTCCATTTCTGTAAGAAAGGGATAGGTAACATTTAATTTGCTTGTACTCTGCATGCTGGAGGGTCTCAGAAGGCTATGAAAGAAACTGGTAACAGTGCGCCCCTCTGGCAGCAGACCTGGAAGTCAGGGGCAGGGGGAGGTCAGAAGGGAGAGCCGTCTTTCTGTTTCCCTCCTGTACTGTCCAGGGCTGTGCAGCCCGGACTGACGGCCACTAGACACATGTGACACCTGAGTGTGTAAAATGTGTCCAATCCAAATATCCATGTCTCTGTGGGTAAAATACCTACACGATTTCAGAGCTCTAGTGTGGAAAGAAAAAAAAGGAATGTCAAATATCTCAATAATTTTCACTATGAATTACATATTGAAATGGTTAAATATATGATTACAATTAATTTCATATGTTTGTTTTTACTTTTTTTTAATGTGTCTAATGAAAAATTTTAAGTGAATGTATGTGGCTCCCATTATGTTTCCATGGGACAGTGTTGGCCTGGAGGTTTTTTCCTTAACCACGTAATTTATATTACCTTTTCACAAAATTACAAGTTAATTAACAAATAAAAGAAATTACCAGAGGAAACAGAGTAGCGTTTTGAAAAACACAGATTAGAGAAGAGCTAAAACCGATCCTTCTCAAACTCTTCCAAAAATTGCAGAGGGAGAAACACTCCCAAATTCATTCTACGAAGCCACCATCACCCTGATACCAAAACCAGAAAAAGATATCACAAAAAAAGAAAATTATAGACCAATATCACTGTTAAACATAGATACAAAACTCCTGAACAAAATACTAGCAAACAGAATCCAACAGCACATTAAAAGGATCATACACCATGATCAAGTGGGATTTATCCCAGGGATGCAAAGATTCTTCAATATATGCAAATCAATCAATGTGATACACCTCACTAACAAATTAAGGAATAAAAACCATATGATCATCTCAAGAGATGCAGAAAAAGCTTTTGACAAAATTCAACACCGATTTATGATAAAAACTCTCCAGAAAATGGGCACAGAGGGAATCTACCTCAACAAAATAAAGGCCATATATGACAAATCCACAACAAGCATCATACTCAGTGGTGAAAAACTGAAAGCATTTCCTCTAAGATCAGGAAAAAGACAAGGATGTCCACTCTCACCACTCTTATTCAACATAGTTTTGGAAGTCCTAGCCACAGCAACCAGAGAAGAAAAAGAAATAAAAGGAATCCAAATCGGAAAAGGAGAAGTAAAACTGTTGCTGTTTGAAGATGACATGATACTATACATAGAAAATCCTAAAGATGCCACCAGAAAACTACTAGAACTAATCAATGACTTTGGTAAGGTTGCAGGATACAAAATTAATGCACAGAAATCTCTGGCATTCCTATACACCAACAATGAAAAATCAGAAAGAGAAATTAAGGAAACACTCACATTTACCACTGCAACAAAAAGAATAGAATACCTAGGAATAAACCTGCCTAAGGAGGTGAAAGACTTGTACTCAGAAAACTATAAAACACTGATGAAAGAAATCAAAGATGACATAAACAGATGGAGAAATATACCATGTCCTTGGATTGGAAGAATCAATATTGTGAAAATGACTATACTGCCCAAAGCAATCTACAGATTCAATGCAATCCCTATCAAACTACCAATGACATTCTTCACAGAATTAGAACAAAAAATTTTACAATTTGTATGGAAACACAAAAGACCCCGAATAGCCAAAGCAATCCTGAGAAAGAAAAATTGAGTTGGAGGAATCAGGCTCCCTGACTTCAAACTATACCACAAAGCTACAGTAATCAAGACAGTATGGTACTGGTACAAAAACAGAAATATAGATCAACAGTACAGGATAGAATGACCAGGGATAAACCCACACACGTATGGGCATGTAATTTATGACAAAGGAGGCAAGAACGTACACTGGAGAAAAGACAGCCTCTTCAATTAAGTGGCGCTGGGGAAACTGGACAGCTACATGTAAAAGAATGAAATTAGAACACTACCTAACACCATACACAAAAATAAACTCCAAATGGATTAAAGACTTAAATGTAAGACCAGACACTATAAAGCTCTTAGAGAAAAACACAGGAAAAACACTCTTTGACATAAACCACAGCAAGATCTTTTTTGACGCACCTCTTAGAGTAACGGAAATAAAAACAAAGATAAACAAATGGGACTTAATTAAACTTCAAAGCTTTTGCACAGCAAAGGAAACCATAAACAAGACAAAAAGACAACATTCAGAATGGGAGAAAATATTTGCAAATGAAACAACAAACGATTTATCGCCAAAATATACAAACAGCTCATGGGGCTCAATTCAAAAAAACAAACAATCCAGTTAAAAAATGGGCGGAAGACCTAAACAGACATCTCACCAAGGAAAACATACAGATGGCCAAGAGGCATATGAAAAGATGCTCAACATCACTAATTATTAGAGAAATGCAACTCAAAACTACAATGGGGTATCACCTCATGTCGGTCAGAATGGTCATTATCAAAAAATCTAGAAACAATAAATGCTGGAAAGGGGGTTGTGAAAACGGAACCCTCCTGCACTGTTGGTGGGAATGTAAATTGATACAACCACTATGGAAAACAGTATGGAGGTTCCTTAAAAAACTAAAAATAGAACTACCTTATGACCCAGCAATCCCACTACTGGGCATATACCCTGAGAAAACCATAATTCAAAAGGAGACATGTACCACAATGTTCATTGCAGCCCTATTTACAATAGCCAGGACAGGGAAGCTACAGATGTCCATCAACAGATGAATGGATAAAGAAGATGTGGCACATATACACAATGGAATATTACTCAGCCATAAAAAGAAACGAAATTGAGTTATCTGTAGTGAGGTGGATGGAGCTAGAGTCTGTCATATAGAGTGAAGTCAGAAAGAGAAAAACAAATACCGTATGCTAACGCATATATATGGAATCAAAAAAAAAAACTGGTACTGATGAACCTAGTTGCAGGGCAGGAATAAAGAGGTAAACATACAGAATGGACTTAAGGACATGGGGTGGGAGGGGGAAACTGGGGTGAAGTGAGAGTAGCGTCAATATATATACACTACCGAATGTAAAATAGTTGGCTGGTGGGAAGCAGCCGCATAGCACAGAGAGGTCAGCTCAGTGATTTGCGGTGACCTGGAGGGGTGGGATAGGGAGGATGGGAGAGAGGCTCAAGAGAGAGGGGATATGGGCACGTGTGTATGCATATGGCTGATTTGCTTTGTTGTGCAACAGAAACTAACACAGTATTGTGAAGCAATTATACTCCAATAAAGATCTATTTAAAAAAAAAAAAAAACACAGAGAAGGGGTAAAAACAAACACTCATGTAACAAAAATCCCTCTCAGCCCTCTTTCTCCATGCCTGCTGCCATTTTGAAAACCTAAGTAAGAACCTGTTAAGTAAAAACCTAATAGGCCTTTCTTTGTTAAACTTTCTTGACAGAGAATTTTAACCATCACAAAAGTAGACAGAATAATATCATGAAGTGCCATGTGTCAGCACCCATACACATGAACCACCAACTCCCTGGCAGTCCTGTCCCCTCACGACCCCCATTCAATTCCCCCCACCTACAATTTTACAGCAAATACCAGACATCATATCCTTAATGCGCTTTTAAAAAAAAATTGTGGTCCTAAAAGACTTTTTTTTTTTTTTAAAGAAGATGTTGGGGGTAGGAGTTTATTAATTAATTTATTTATTTTTGCTGTGTTGGGTCTTCGTTTCTGTGCGAGGGTTTTCTCTAGTTGTGGCAAGCGGGGGCCACTCTTCATCGCGGTGCGTGGGCCTCTCACTATCGTGGCCTCTCTTGTTGCGTAGCACAGGCTCCAGACGCGCAGGCTCAGTAGTTGTGGCTCACAGGCCTAGTTGCTCTGCAGCATGTGGGATCCTCCCAGACCAGGGCTCGAACCCGTGTCCCCTGCATTAGCAGGCAGATTCCCAACCACTGTGCCACCAGGGAAGCCCCTAAAAGACTTTTGAATTTGTGAGTCATAAAGAAAGGATTAAGAACTGTATTCTTCGACTTCCCTGGTGGTGTAGTGGTTAGGAATCCTCCTGCCAATGCAGGGGACACGGGTTCAAGCCCTGATCTGGGAAGATCCGACATGCCCTGCAGCAACTAAGCCCATGCACCACAGCTACTGAGCCTGCGCTCTAGAGCCCGTGGGCCACAACTACTGAGCCCAAGAGCCAAAACTACTGAAGCCCGTGCGCCTAGAGCCCATGCTCCACAACAAAGAGAAGCCACCGCGACGAGAAGCCCACACATCGGAACGAAGAGTAGCCCCCGCTCGCTGCAACTAGAGAAAGCCTGTGCATCAACGAAGACCCAACACAGTCAAAAATAAATAAGTAAAAAAAAAAAAGAACTGCATTCTTCATTTTTCAATGGCTATCTCTCCTACAAAATGTACCCCAAGAATGACCCTCAACACCCCAGAAACCATCAGGATCTGTGCAGCCTTCTCGCCACTTAAATATATGGTCTGTTTCTGATATACGTGCTGGGTGTGTGTCCTGTCGCTCGCACCAGAGGCAGAAAAGTCCTCGATTCCAAGGCCAGGCCGGCTCCTCCCTGTCACGTTCTCCAAGCCCTCTCCCCAGGCTCAGGCCATGACCCCGGTGCACACTCAGAGGAGGTGACCAGCTGGTTCCGAGCCTAAACCCAGAAAATTTTCAAACACAGGGAGTGACCTTGGGGATAAGCTGCTTGCTTTCCTTTTGCTTCTGCCTGTTTTGATAGTACACTGAAAAAAAAGAGTGGTTCAAAATTACAGATAATTTTTAGGGGTGGTAATGGTATTGTGGTTTTGTTTTGTTTGTTTTTTGTTTCAAGAGTCTCTTATCTTTTAGAGAGACATACTGAAATATTTATATGGATGACGTCTGAGATTTGCTTCAAAGTAATCCAGATGGGAGCATAGTGAGGACAGAGTTGAAACAAGACTGACCAGGAGTTGACAACTGCTGGAGCTGGGTGATGGGTTCCTGGGACTCATGTACCAGGCTCTCTACTTTTGTCTCTGTGTAAAATCTTCCAAAAGTCTTTCAAAGAGTAAACTCTCTTCCTGTTTTCCTACACGGAGGATCCTGGGCAGGGCAGATTCTCTTCTGTGTTATAAGGGAGACATCATGGAAAAGCTGTTGGGGAGACCCAGATGGTCTGCGGAAGCTTCTTCTGTGGCCTCTGACTGCATCTTTTTTTTTTAAATTTTTATTTATTTATTTATTTTTGGCTGTGTTGGGTCTTCGTTTCTGTATGAGGGCTTTCTCTAGCTGCGGCGAGCGGGGGCCACTCTTCATCACGGTGCGCGGGACTCTCACTGTTGCAGCCTCTCTTGTTGTGGAGCACAGGCTCCAGACGCACAGGCTCAGTAGTTGTGGCTCACGGGCCTAGTTGCTCCGTGGCATGTGGGATCTTCCCAGACCAGGGCTCGAACCCGTGTCCCCTGCATTGGCAGGCAGATTCTCAACCACTGCGCCACCAGGGAAGCCCTGACTGCATCTTTTAAAAGGAGCTCACAGGACTTCCCTGGCGGTCCAGTGATTAGGACTCTGTGCTTCCACTGCAGGGGGCACGGGTTCGATCCCTGGTCGGGAAATTAGGATCCCGCATGTCGCACGGTGCAGCCCAAAAATAAAGAAATAAAAGGAGCTCACAGTAAAAATAACATTGGGGAGTACAACTGTAAGCTGATGAAATGCTAGCAGACTAGCTGCCAGCCAATAACTGATCATCTCTCTGCCTGGCCAGGGGGTCCCCAGAGCCCTAGATGAGAAACAGACTCCCAGGCCCCTCCTCCAGCCTTGCTGCACCCACTCTCCAGGAGACAGCCCCTGGGAGTGCTTCTGCACATTTTGATGGGGTTGTGTGCATCTTGTAGTACAACTATAAAAACCGAAAAGGGAAATGAGAGCGGCGTATCCCACTCTGGGTAAGACCAGGCTGTCAAAGAAGTGAGAAGCCACACATATCAGTAAGCTTGGGGGCGGGTGGGGGCAGAGGTGGAGGAGCCCAGGGGCAAGGGAGCCCGTATCTCTGGGAGCAGCTTCCCACTGCAGGCCCGGCTTTACCCAGCGTCTGCATGGCTTCCTCGCTCTGCTGGACCTGCTGGGACATCATCCTGCTGATCCCCATGAGGCTCTCTGTGATAGCACTGGACGTCTGGGCCAGGCTCTCTTTGGCGGTTTTCCTAGAAGTCCAGAGTGGGAGGAGGAATGTCAACAAAAGCCCGGCTGCAGGAAAGCCCCAGATTCAAATGAGATCCCATTTTTTAATCTATCGAATTAGTACATATTTTTAAATGATTATAGTCAGCGGTGACAAAGGCGTGCAGAGAGCATGCTCTTGAAGACTGCTGATTAGGAACGTAAACTGGTGCTACCTTCTGAAAGCCATCTGGCGATATGTATTAGGAGCCTTAGAAATGTTCACGCCTTTGAACCAATAATCTCATCTGGGAATCTCTCCAAAGGAAACATCCAGAATGTGGACAAAGCCTTATGTACTAACATGTGCCCTGGTGTGTTATTTATAATACTGACAAACTAGAAATATAAACACACACAAACAGGGGATTAGTTAATATAAGGGAATACTATGTACTATTAACATTTTGTTTAAAGAGCTTTTTAAAAAAAATGTAAGTCTGTGCAACGATACTAAGTGAAGGGGAGTAGGAGACTAAATTTTATGCATGGTATGATATTGACTTTATAAAAAATATGGAAGAAAAAATAATGAAAGGAGGCAATATATCAAAATGTTTGTGAGTAGTACAATTATGACTTACTTTCAGTTTGTTACTCATATTTTTATTTTACTAATTTACTACAAATAAGAATATATTTCTTTCATACTTAAAAAAATATTACTTATAAAATTAAATACTAATTTTATGCTGAAAACAAGAAGGGGTTCCCCACAGTGGGTTTTGCACCTTGCCGACTGCTCTTTATTCTGTCACCAGAACCCAGAAAGACAAAAAGACAGGTACCTTTGCCTGAAGAGGTCTCCTCCCTGGAGAAGTTCTGCTTTCTCTAGGTTGTCAATAGCAATTTTGCAAGTGAGATTTGCCTTCCTCCATGAGGTCTGATTGCTGGAATTAGAAGGGTCATGTGTGAGTTTCTGTTGATGCCACCAGGCTGTCAGTTCAAGTCACAGCAGGTCTTCCTTCCAGCCAGGGAGTAAGGAAGGCCATCCGAGTTTGGCCCAGGGTCCATTCCCAACCCCCCCACCACTTCCTCCACTTGGTTGCCCCAGCAGCTGCTCCAGCTCAGGCCCCAGCACCTCTTGTCTGGATCCTGGAGGCTGTCTCTGAGTTGTTTTCCTACTGCCCATTAACTGTCCCTCTCCCCCCAGGACAGCCACAGGGAGCAACCTGGCCATAGCATGCCTCTGTTTACAGCCCACAATGGCTCCAGACTTCAGGGTAACATCCAAACTTCCCAGCGGGGCACACGAGGCCCGTTCAAAGTTATCTCTTACACATTACTGCCTTGCCTTGTGTGCGGCTTGGTTCTGTTCCTCGAGAACCATGACTCGCTCATCTTTGTATAACCAGTACCCAGAACAACAGTTATTGGCCCATTAGCTGCTCAATCAATATGTGTAATAGGAAGTAGAAAAATCATTATAAGACAGTCTTCTTCAGTATTTCTTCAAGATTTGCTGTTCTTTGCATACCACAGACCAATCAAGGCCAACACAAACACACTGTATTAGAAGAGTCCAGTCTGACATGATTTATTTACATTTTTTACCTGATTTCCTTGCGAGAAACAACTCAAATTTGGTGAACAGTTCCCTGGAGTTCGAGTGGGGTCTTTTTTTATTTAATATTTTATTGAAGTTGATATATAATGTTGATATAGTTGATATAAAATGTGTTAATTTCTGCTGAATAGCAAAGTGACTCAGTTATACATATATATATTTTTTCATATTCTTTTCCATTATGGTTTATCACAGGATATTGAATATAGTCCACTGTGCTATACAGTAGGCCCTTGTTGTTTATCCATCTTATACATACTAGTTTGCATCTACTAATCCCAAACTCCCAGTCCTTCCCTCCCCTACTCCCCCTTGGCAACCACAAGTCTGTTCTCTCTGTCTGTCTGTCTATCTGTTTCATAGATACATTCATTTGTGTCATATTTTAGATTCCACTTATAAGTGATATCATATGGTATTTGTCCTTCTCTTTCTGACTTACTTTGCTTAGTAAGATAATCTCTAGGTTTGTTGCAAATGGCATTATTTCATTCTTTTTTATGGCTGAGTAATATTCCATTGTATATATATACCACATCTTCTTTATCCATTCATCTATCGATGGACATTTAGGTTGTTTCCATGTCTTGGCTATTGTGAATAGTGCTGCTATGAACATAGGGACGCATGTATCTGTTTGAATTATAGTTTTCTCTGGGTATATGCCCAGAAGTGGGATTGCTGGATCATATGGTAAGTCTATTTTTAGTTTTCTGAGGAACCTCCATACTGTTTTCCATAGTGGCTGTACCAGTTTATATTAGAGTGAGGTCTTTGTTTGATGGACTATAAAAAAGTTAACTGGGCTCCTCAGAGAATCAAACTCATGCACTAGAACTCTTACGCAGCTGGCTCAAATCAATTGTGCTAACCCCCGGAATATTTAAAGAGGCAAATGAGAGTACACGAACTGATAGGGTGGTTTTGAATAGCACCTCTATGTTGAAAGTGTTCAAATGAGCTCTCTGATGCCTGACCAGCATCTGCTATGCCGTCTCACATCTGATACTTTAAAAGAATCAATTACATTTTCAACTGTTTACAAGGGAGTTCTGCTGGGCCCTGCAATGCAGAGATAAATGAACAACAGTGCTTGCCCTCAGGGACTCACATTTACTGGGGAGAAAGACAAGCAAAAATATTTACTGTATAGTGTGACAAGCACGATAACCCAGGTAAGCACAAGTACTGTTTCAACACAAAATCGCCAAAGTGTTAATTTACTGCTTTCTCTCCTCTACCCTGGAATTGCAAATCCTGAATGGCCACTCGCAACTTTAAACCCATGCTGAGGTGGTTTTGCTGGTGTAACTTGCTAGATTTTACACAAGGGTCCTCTTTACTCAATGTTTATAATCTGAGTCCCCATGGTGGCCTAGGGAAAGGAAAGCCATCATGACACAAAGTCTCACTGGTCCCCACTCACACATCCCTCCCTCCGCACAGGAGCCTCTACCACGCCCATGTCTTTGTCAGTCCCTATCCTCCTGATGGCTGGGCATTATAAACAGAGCTGCTGTCAGCAAGGATGATGCTGGAGAATTACTCAAATCAGAAGCAAAGCCATAGACAAATACAGATGTGACAGTTAGTCCAATTAACAAGGACGAAGAGAAAACCTACAAGGATGGTGACATTGATAGGGACTTCAAAAGAGAAGGATATGGCTACCAGGGGCTTGGAAAAGTTGATGGGGCCCTCAAATATTTTTGCAATAACAACCCTCTTTTTGATTGTGGTGCAAACATCAAATGTGAAGGGTCAGGTACAGTTTCATGCTATCAGACAATTTTGTTGGATAAGTCCCCCAATTTCAATACCAAGAAATAGCACATACCTTCAGTTATATAATCAAGGATTAGCATATAGCTGCAATGAAAACCTCAATTTTATTTAACATAAGCTTATTTACATTTTTTTTTTCATTTTTTAAAATAAAGTCCCATTCAAAACTTTCTACATTTTGGTCCGTCTTAAGTAGGTTCACTTTCAATGGACTTTTTAAGATATCAATTCTCTTTAGATTAAAAAAGACCTTGTATTACTGGGACTTCCCTGGTGGTCCAGTGGTTAAGACTCCCTGCTCCCAATGCAGGGGAACCGGGCTCAATCCCCTGGTTAGGGAACTAGAGCTCACCTGCTGCAACTAAAGATCCTGCACGCACCAACAAAGATCCTGCGTGCTGCAACGAAGACCCGGTGCAGCCAAATAAATAAATTTTTTTTTTTAAAAAAAAGGGACCTTGTATTACAAAAGTAACCATTTTTTTTGCTTTTTTAAAAATATAAAATACAGTATAATGTTAAATACGCTTTTGTAAACTACGCACAGTCTCACTTACCCAACAGCCCCTGCTTGCCCCCCAGCTTTGAGAATTACATCCGGTCTGTGTATAAATGGCACAACTGAGTCATTAAGCTAGGTTTATTAGGCAAACCCTGGCACAAGCCTCACAGGCAGCAAGCAACCCAGCCAAGGTCACTAGCAGGAGGCCAGGCTCTACCTACCTGAGCATCTGCTTTTTGTGATTCTCCACTTCCTGGAGCAGAACTTGCTTCTCAGACTCTTTGTCTTGCTCTTTAGCCGACTGCTCAAGCTCCTGTGGGGGGAAAACAGCTCTAAATTAAAATGACTTTAAAAGCTCATACAAAACTGGAGAGCACTTCTATTATGCAACAGCACTTGAAAACCCTCCTAGGGACTTCCCTGGTGGTCCAGTGGTTAAGAATCTGCCTTCCAGGGCTTCCCTGGTGGCGCAGTGGTTGAGAGTCCACCTGCCGATGCAGGGGACAAGGGTTCGTGCCCGGGTCCGGGAAGACCCCACATGCCGTGGAGTGGCTTGGCCCGTGCGCCATGGCCGCTGAGCCTGAGCGTCTGGAGCCTGTGCTCCGCGACGGGAGAGGCCACAACAGTGAGAGGCCCGCACACCGTAAAAAAAAAAAAAGAATCTGCCTTCCAACGCAGGGGACGCGGGTTTGATCCCTGGTCGGGGAACTAAGATCCCACATGCTACAGGGCAACTAAGCCCGCATGCTCTAGAGCCCGCGCGACATAACTAGAGATCCCATGTGCTGCAACTACTGAGCCCGTGCCCCACAACTAGAGAGAAGCCCACATGCCTCAGCTACAGAGAAACCCACATGCCTCAACTACTAAGCCCGCAAACTCTGGAGCCTGCGGACAGCAATGAAGGGCCCACGTGCTGCAACGAGAGATCCCACATGCCACAACTAAGACCTGATGCAGCCAAATAAATAAATATTAGAAAAAAGAAAACCTCCCTAGAACAGAAGACTTAGGAATGCCAGTTCACATACAATAAACATCCTTTTACATAGATAGCTCAGTCTGCAGGAAGTAAGGAGCATCCCCAGGACCACAAAACAAGAAGGGAACTAAGAGCCAGAGCGGTCTTCCTGTGAGGGATGTGAGGCTGCCCTGGAGCAGGAGATATGCTTCTCTAATCTAGGGCATGCCTGAAAAGAAAAGGAAAAAAATACAACTATATAGGAGCCTACAGATTCCACTCTGAAATATGATGGAAATACCACTACTGTTGCTTCATGCTTACTCTCAATCTCTGTACATATTTCATTTTAGACTGGCGGCAAAGAGGGTTTTAAAGTCCATGTGGGGGGACTTCCCTGGTGGCACAGCGGTTAAGACTCCACGCTCCCAATGCAGGGGGCCCAGGTTCAATCTCTGGCCAGGGAACTAGACCCTACACGCGTGCCGCAACTAAGAGTTCACATGCCACAACTAAGGAGCCGGCGAGCAGCAACTAAGGAACCCACCTGCCACAACTAAAGAGCCCACCTGCTGCAACGAAGATGCAGCACAACCAAATAAATAAATATTTTTAAAAAAACAGAAAAAAATAAAGTCCATGTGGGGACAGAAAATGAAGCCTTGGCCATTTGAGGCCAGGAATTGGAATGGAGAACACCACAAAGCCAGGACCACAAAGGGATACACCCTCAGTGAAAAGGTGAACTAGGAAAATGTCTGTCAACCAGCACAGAGAAAATGTGGAAGCTTGTCCTTTTTTGCTGTGGGGTCTGGCTAGAGGGATACAAAATACCTTCCCTGAGAATATATAACCATGGAGCTACCCTCACACTGATCTAGGATTCAAATTCATACTCCCTGAGTGGTTTCAGAAACTCCACGAGGAGAAATGAACACAAAAGTGCTCCCAGACTTGTGCTAATCCTAGGAGACCTGGCAAAAGCAAATGCAAAAACCTTTGAAGAGACTTGCCTTCAACTCAGGCCACACAAAAGTCCCACCAGGAAGGGCTTCTGAAGAGGAGTACTCAGAGCCCAAAATAACCAAACACCAGGACCCAACCGTCCACCACAGTGAGGGACAGCAGACCTAACAACCAGCTGTCTGAGACCCCCAAGAACTTCAGATGATGGCACTATCAGACAGACTATAATTAAAGATGTCAATATACCTTGAGTCTCATGTCTTTTTTTTTTTTTTTTTTTTTTTTGCGGTACGCGGGCCTCTCACTGCTGTGGCCCCTCCCGCTGTGGAGCGCAGGCCCTGGACGCGCAGGCTCAGTGGCCATGGCTCATGGGCCCAGCCGCTCTGCGGCATGTGGGATCCTCCTGGACCGGGGCTCGAACCTGCGTCCCCTGCATCGGCAGGCGGACTCTCAACCACTGTGCCACCAGGGAAGCCCTCATGTCATTATTTTTTTAACTGAAGTATAGTTGATTTACAATATTGTGTTAGTTTCAGGTATATAGCAAAGTGATTCAGATATATATATATATATTCCAATTCTTTTCCATTATAGGTTATTATAAGATTTGAATATAGTTCCCTGTGCTGTACAGTAAATCCTTGTTGTTTAACTATTTTCTATATAGTGCTGTGTATCTGTTAATCCCAAACTCCTAATTTAGCCCTCCACCACCCTTTCCCCTTTGTTAACCATGAGTTTGTTTTCTATGTCTGTGAGTCTATTTCTGTTTTTGTAAATAAGTTCATTTGTATTATTCTTTAGATTCCACGTTTAAGTGATATCATATGATATTTGTCCGTCCCTGTCTGGTCATGTCATACTTTTGGCTTTCAAATTAAAACAAGTTCCAGTTTTAATCAAGCTATTGATGCAAAAACATAAACTATTAGCTCATTTATATACTAATTTATTTATTTATATGCTTGTTTATACATTAATAAATGTTTGGAGATGCAGATTAAAACTGGGATGGAGTCAATATTCATTGACCATGTGCAAAATTATTAGGGCCTTACTAGGTGCCAGGGGTAGACTGGTGCTTGAAGAGCTGATGATCGGGAGGGAGGGACATAACAAATGTGTAAATGTACTGAGGTTATCTTACTTAGTGAAGGACATAAACACTGGGTGAGCACACAGAAACTTAAACAGAAAGAACAAGGAAATACTTATACTTAAGGTGGTGAGTGTGGTTGGAGAGCTGAAGTCATATGAGTTGAAAAAAGGTCTTTCATGGAATAAATTTGCTTTAAAAAGCAAAAAAACAGTCCAAATAAATGCCCTTTGACAGAGAACAGGCCAAAAATAAACTATGACTATAAAAAAAGAATGAGGAAGCTTCCCAATACTGACATGGAAAGATTTCCAATACATATTCAGTTTAAAAATGGTATTGAAATACCATTTTTAATATGCTACCTTTTAGATGAGAAATGGGAAAGAAATAAGAAAACATTTGTCTTTTTTAGTATCTGAGTAGAGAAACTATGGAAAGATACATAAGTAACATATAAGAGTGGTTACCTATTTGGAGGAGGGGAACAGAGAACAAATAAGGAGGCACACCTAAGATTTTCACTGCACTTTTTCCTGCCTGCCAATATTTACACACATATACGCATATATAAAAAACATGTGAAAGTAACAGGCTTTCTAAATTAAAAAATTAAAATGATTAAATCAGCACTAGAGATGGAGGTGGAAAGAGATCAGCCAGGTTCAGTGACATTGCTGAAATCTTCAAGTGAACTCCTTTGACAAAAACTGCATATTGCCAAAATTGCCCTTGAAAATCCCTTAGGAAGCAATGCACAGGACACAGACATCCTGTTTTTCAGGGTCCAAACTGCCAGTTTTTCTATCATCTTTGGAACAGACTGTCTTCTTCTGGTAAGCAAAAACAGGGTTATTGGCTGGCATTTGGGGCCATGTCATAAAGAGAGCACAAGTCTTTAAATCCAAGAACCATATGCAGCGAGACCAGGTGCCCCAAGACCCAGACAGGAATGGCCAGCTCCATGCCACCCATCTTACCCTCACTCAGGGCACAGCACAGAAACACCTATGCTATTCAGACTGCTACTTTTCTCATTCTATTGTTTTTGGAGACAGCACATATACCCTAGTCGAATTCAGGACTGTTACATATGCATATGATGTGACTGGAGACTACAGAAACAGAGAGGAAGAGGCTGGGCAAAGTGACAGCACGGAAAAAAAAACCAGGGGACACTGGTAATGGATTGAGGTGGATGGGTTGGAGAGAGTGGTAGAGAAAAGAAAGTAATGCAAGTGATCTCAGAGTTTTCAAGTTGAAAAATTCCCAGGACAATGGTGTCCCTACTATCTACCTGTAACATAGCTGGCAGTGCTGTGCATTCAGAAGTCCCTCATCTCTACCTGGATAGCAGGTTAGTACAGTTACCTCCACTGTCTAAACGTTTACTACTCCCATCTGAACATTTACTGAAGGACCTGGACAGCTCTCGAGCAGAGGTTAGTCCCAGTTCCAAGCCCCATTCATCGTTACCCAGTTTCAGCATCCCAGCTCTGCAGACACTCACCTGTATTCTGTGCCGCAACTGTTGAAACTTCTCTTTCACTTTAGTATTCAGTTCGGTAAGTGCACTTAATGGCCCTGAACAATCTCCAATATCCTAGGAGACATTGAAGAGATGAAGAGGTCTTTCTCAAGACAATGCAATGAAATGACACCAGCTGTACAGTGAAAGAGTTGGCTTACAGCACAACTAAGTTTGGCCTACTGACTGTAATTCATCCTGATCTTTGCTGTTTACCTCTGCAACACAAGCAAAAACATTATAATTTACATTTTCTCATCCCTCTTTAGGTTAATTCTGACCAAGCAACATAAAGGCATAGATAGAAACAAAATTGTCTTGACTTCTTAGTTCCTGAAGCTTAACAAAATGCCACCCAGTCACTATGAAAGACTTAAAGCAGCTTATACACCTGACAAGAATAAACATCCGAAAGAGATACTATAACTTTAGATCTTTCCAACTTGAAAATCAGGATGCTAAATTCCTGGCATCATATGCCAAGATTAACTTCTCAATCTAATTTTACAAACCATCTATTATAAATCACACTGTTTATAGACATGTTTGAAGGTAGATTTAGAATTTGTTTCTGGACATTCAAAATTACCGGGGCCAGGTTTTTTGTTTTGGTTTTTTTGGGTTTTTTTGCAAAAGGGCGGAGCTGGTTTTATTCAACAATCTCATTACAAAAATAACCAAAATGTATGCAGCAGCGGAATTAGGAAGGACCCTGCCTGACTTCTGCAAGAGTGGGCAGCCCCCTTTTCCCCACAGCCCTGCAGGGGCAGCCAGCTAGCGCAGAGAGCCTCAGGGCAAGATAGCGGGCAGAGCTCTGCATGGGGGCCTGGCCTTGGCTAGTACTGTCCACTCTGAGCACTTCCATCCTCCCCGCCATTGTAAACACCATGCTCAGGTCAGGTCTCCCAATGCTGGGCATCAACCCTGCCCCGCTGTTAGGTCCTCAACAGGACAAACTATCCTGGAAACTTCCTTCCATCCAGCCAGCCAGGAAGGTAGCAAATAAGGGGTGACGACTCGAGGAAGGATGGGCCACCCCAGCATGGTTGGGGGCACTGCTCTCCCCCAACACTCCTAGGTGGGCTGTCCCTGGGCTGAAACAGTTCCCAAAGAGGCCACGGCGGCTCCCCAAGGCTGAAGGGAGTTGAGGCTGTGGTGGGCCCAGAGGGGAGCACTGGATTTCATTCCTAAGACCCTAGAGGCCCGGGGAGGGGAGCCCTGGGAGGCTCAGGCGTGCTCCATGGGGCCGGGGCCACCGGTGTGGGAGTGGGCAGGGGCTGCAGCCCGCAGGGGGCCAGCACTGGGCTCTGGGGATGCCGGCAGAGGGCCTGAGAGGCCGTCAGTGGAGTCTGTGTTGAGGTCCAGCCTCCAGTAAGCTTCACACAGAGGCAGACCATTAGCTTCGCAAAGACTTGAGCTAGACGAGTAATACTCCTCCTCCAGCTCGTAGAGGTCTATGGAGACCTCATCCCAGGGCCAGGATTTAAAGCAGGCCCTAGAGCCAGATTATGTGGATTCAAATTCTGGTTGTAGCAGTTTATTAGCTGTGTAACCTTGAAAGTTAGAGTCCTCTGTGCCTCAGTTTCCTCATCACAACATACCCACTTCACAGACCAGGTACCTATGTAAAGGGCTTAGCAGAGGAGCTGGAACACAGTAAGAGTATGCTAAATCTAGCTATCATCAATTGCTCTCATCATGAGAATGCAAATGTTGGAAAGTGCAAAAGGGCGCTTAAGCAATTTAGATTATGTGAAAAGGCAATTTCATCTGTTCTGAATCTTAAATTTATTTTTCTAGAATTGGTCCAGATGTTTTGTAGTTTACACATGGGAAATGTGAAGTTCAAGAAGTTTAAATGTTTGCATCAAGTTGCCTCACTTGTTCTCTGGATTACTCGTTAAATCACAGTCCTTGCAACATATAATAAGCTATTAATTTGGTTTATTTTGCATCTGATTTCCGTGGGTAGCCTTACTTTCCTTCACCTTTTACGACAGCTAGTTGCAAACTCTGAGTCTACATCGAATGTTTAGTAACATTTGTTGGAAATGGAAACGATCTGCCTAAAAGGAAGGTTTTAAACTTTTGGTTTCTTTTTGCTAAACTCAAGGAACCATTTCTACATTTCTAACTCTTGCCTATGCCAATTGGTTTACTGCAATACTACCTTCTACCCTTAAAATTGGCTTAAGGCAAAGGACCTCAATTACCCCATCTGTTAAACGAAAGAGTAGACTCTTAAGTCTTTTCTACAGACTGACTTTCCCTGTCCGGGTCCCAGTTTTGCCAGTATCTGCTTTCTGATCCAGGCAGACTCGATTTCCTCATTTACAACAATCTCAACTACGGTCCAGGTGACGTTCGTTTCACGTAACGAACGGTGCCTCCCATGCCAGGTGGCCTTTGGTGCCACGGGGCATCGGACCCAGGGAGCTGGCCAGCAGGGGGCGAGGCTAATGGCTTCCAGGACGCTACCAAAGGATGGAGAGGACGGTGCGAGAAGGCGGGGCCAAGCAGGATGACAGGTAAGCTTTGAGGCTGTCGTGGGGGCGAGGCGACGGCCAGAGGTGTGTAGGGGAGGGGCCACAAAGGGGAAGGCTGGTCGGGGCTGAGGTGGAGGGGGCGTCCCGGAAGAGGGCGAGCCAACGGCAGCCAGATGGAGTATCAAGGCCAACGGTCAAGGGGACGAAGGGGACGGGACCAAGGGGGAAAAGCTCGGGAGTGAGACCGCCGAGCTCACAGAAGGCCAGTGGATCTTGGGTTTAGGGCTACTGGACCCCGGCGGGGGTCCCGGGCATTAGTACCTGGATAAGCGCCTTCACCTCCAGGTCGAATTTGACAATCTCTTGGTTACAGATCCTGACGTGGACGTCTTGGGGAAACGCCATGTTGGGAAAGCCGGCTACGGGCTGCCGCGGTGCCCAAATTCCAACGCGTTTTTGCACCGGCTTCCTTCTTCCCCGTCGGGTTTTGCGGCAGCGACCCCTAGAGACCGGCCTGCGGCGAGCGAGGGTGGTAGCGCCGAGTCGTGTGGACTTTTCCTGACTCGTGGGAAAAATCAGTCGGCCCCTTGGTGTGGACCTGGTAAGACGGAGAGAAAGAGAGGAGGGAATTATCAGCAACGCTTTAACAGGGGCCTCTCCCCATCTTCCGCCCATCAGTCACTCTAATGACTGCATATTTTTTGCATAGAGGGGGGAAAAAAACTGGAGGAAAAGTATCAATTGGGATGTCTCTGGAAGGTGGAATTAACAGTTTTTTATATTTCTTTAAACTTTCTTGTATTTTTCATATTTTCTACAGTGAATATAAATTGTGGAGTGAAAGAAAAAAATGACAAATGTTATCATTACTTTTTTAAATGTACGGAATTCAAAGCAGTTTGCTAGGGTACTTCCTGTCAGTCCAGCCCACGGTCCAAGGGATCTTCCTAAAACGCACAACTGATCAAGTCACATTCCAGCTTACACCCCTTCACTGGCTCCTGGTGGTTGCCTTTTGTGTACAATTGGATTTAATAAATTTACCTCGCTGGAGTAGTTTCGATGGAAATAATTAAGAACAGACCCTCAACAGATGGAGGCTCTTTCATTGAATTTTTATTAACTAGTCCAAATTTCTTAGCTGAACCTCAAGGGCATCAGGTACCCCACACAGCCCTGTCTCCTTCCTGGATTCTTCAAGCTCTTTTTGGATCTGTAGCCTTGGAGGGAACACCCTCCCTTAAGGTGTTCATCACCCCACTGCACCTAATAAACAGGCTGTATATTGCAGGCTTGGGCATCTGCCCTGGCTTGAATCCTGCTTGACAACCCACTTCACATCTCTGTGCTTCAGAGGCTAAATGCTGGTGACCACAGCACTGACTGAAAGATTAAAAGAGGTAATACATAAAAAGCACCAAGCACAATGTAGTAATTTGGTACATCGTAAGAATGCAATGCACATGACTATTATTATATTACTGACATTTGTGGAGCACTTCCCTTGTGCCAGGTACTTTGTACTAAGTGCTTTATATGTATCATTCTAACTTAACTCTCACAACAACCCTGTGAGGTAGAGTTATCCACTTTTTACAGATGAGGAAACAGGCACAGAGAGATAATGAGTTGCCCAGAGCAAATGGAATTGCTAGGTCAAAGGATACATGCATTTTAAAATTCTGATACATGCTACCGAATCGCTCTTTATAGAAGTTATATCAATTTACACTCCCACCAGCAATGTGGTACAAATGCCTGCTTTCTCACGGCCTCGTACACACGGTGTGTTAACAAACACTGGGATTTTTGCCAATCTGATTAAGTGAAAAATGCCATCTTTCAATTTTCATTTCTCTTATCATGAATGGAGAACTACTTGTATTTATTTTACTATCTGCTCATTTTTCTATTAGGTTGTCAGTCTTTTTCATATCAGCTCCCAGAGTTCTTTAGATAGTAGGAGGATTTGCCCTTAGAAATGAGCTTTGTCTCTTAGTCTACAGAATTTTGACTTGGCTTTTATGGTGTTTCGGGCCTTAAAAAAGTTTTATTTGAAATTTTATTTTTACATTTAGATCTTTACCCATTTTGAAATATGTGTTGGCTTATGGTGGGAGATACAGAGCCAAGTTTACTTTCTCCAGAGGGTTACCCAGTTGTTCCAACACTATTTTCTGAACAATCCATCCTTTTCTCACTGGTTTCAGATGCCACACTTACCATATAAATTAAATATAAATAATATATAAATTAATAACATTAATATTATTTATAATATATAAATTAAATATAAATACATCTGAATCTATTTCTATACTTTCCATTCTATTCTGTTGGCCTATTCATTCATTCACCAAAATGATACTGTTTTAATATTAGTTTTATGTGTTTTAATATCTGTTAGGATCGAACACCCCACTTTTTTCCCCATGTGAACTTTAGTTTTTTGAAATCGTATTGGTATGTCTTATCGGGATGGCACTGAATTGTTCATTTAAGTTAGGAGGACTGACAGGTTTATGCCGTTGACTGTTCCTATTCAAGAACTTGGTCTATCTTTCCACTTGTTCAAGTCGTCTTCTGTATCCTTCATAGTATTTTAATGTTTTCTTCAGAGTTTGTACATTTTCTTTTAAGTTCATTCCTGGAGACATTTTAAGATTAAAACCTTTTAAAGAAACTGAGGTTGACATTCTTCAGGTCAAACGTTTTGGATCCTCAAGTAGAAGCTCCCTGTTCAGGACACTGAAGAAACCCAAACTCTGCACGCAGTAGATAGGCCCACGTGACCTTGAGCCCCTTTCCCATCATGCTACTTGGTGGAAAGTCCTCTGCAACCAACAGTCACCAATTGCATTTCCATGAGGCAATTAGAGAAAACATAGCTCCTCTTTTCTCCACCCTCCAACATACTCCATTCTAACAAAAAAAGACTCAATTCTAAGGCCTTCAGCTAGAGGCCATCTTTGAGGGATAGATATACAATTTGGTGACCCGCACTCCCCATCACTGACTACTGCCAATGCTGTTTTGCTTCCGTCACCTTTACCTACTGATCCTGAGACTAGCTTTTGTTTACTGCATCTACTAGGTTCTGGCTTTAGTTCTTTCTGGTTTGCAGACCCTAAGCCCATTATCTCCCTCCTACACAGACATCCATCCAAATATTGCCAGTGACTTGGCCAGGTCCCTTACAGAGGGGTACGGATTGTCTCTGAGTGCTGCAAGCAGATTGCCATTTGAATTGGAGTTCTGTATCACCTAAGCTGGGTCTGGGGTGAGTCCCTGCATCTGGTTCTAGTCTCTTTTGTAAAATGGACACGATCACCCACCTTACTGGGCCACAGAGAGCAGCAGGTGAGTTCCCTGATAGGAAAGCACCTAGCAGGGGCTTAATGAATGCCACCCTAGCCTTCTAGGACTTTCTAATGCCTTCTTCCTATTCTGAACCTTTCAGCTGGGATATTAAAGTATTTCCCAACTAATGTTTTTCTAAGGTGCTCTCCTGGTTCCGAAATCAATGTGGGCAACGAGAGACAATTGAACAGCCCATCTCACTGGGTGCTACCTAACAGAAGGGTTGGTTTCCTAAGAGCTGTACTGGAAGGGCTGGCTCACCCAGCTCCTTAAAGTGCCCAGACTCTGACAGAGGCTCCTGTGAGGTCAAGTCCTGAAGCAGAACCAGTCCATGAGAGGCTAGGCCCACTTCTTCCTGACAGCCTCAGTGTCACTCAAATGAAGCAAAAAGGGCTTCTTCAAGGGACCAGGGATGTCATGCACACAGCCTGTCAATTCTCTTAACATACCCCACTTGATGTGGTACCAGTGTCCTTGCAAATACCTCTGCGGTAATGTACCTAGAACCCTTTGTGTGTTTAACAGCTCTTGTGTTGTTTTGTGGCCCTGTTCACACGTGGCCTCCCTTAGCAGACTAAACGTTAGTGGCGGTCTCTTTAGTCTCCTTCTGGCCAGTACGCAGCACAAGTCTTGGCAGAGAAAGTGCTAAACAAATGTTTGTTGGCCGAAGGAACACACTGCTACAGTGGTGTTTACTCGGGTCCCCTGATTTAACAGTTCTATGTATATGCCCAGCCTAGCTTGGGGACCTACTTAGAATTATGAAACACACGAACACATACAAAGGCTTAAGTCAGGAGAGACTCAAAATACCTTCTTTCCCTCAGAGAAATCGCTTGGCCAAAGAATCAAGGAGGAGAAATAAGGATAAACTAAACTATGCTCTAAACTATAAAGAATGTAAATGTTTTTGTCAATGAATAATTCTACGTAATAGCTAAATTTAACTAAAGTATTGAAAAAGCAGCCCAAAATGTTAAAAAAAAAAAGTTAGCTGTTCGCACACTACACCAAGAGAGGGGCAGCGCGATCAAGAGTTCACTGCTGTCTCCAGTTTGGAATTTTGTTGCAGTGGGTTATTCTGAAGGGTGGATGATCACCTTGGAAAGCAACAGAAAAGCAACAGAAAAAGGAAGGACGAAAGCATGAGGCAAACAATTCAAAACCTTTTCTTTTCATCTTTTTTTATTTTAAATTACAAAGGATGTTGCATACACTGATGAATCTGTATCTGACTAGAAGTGCTGAGGGGTTGGAAAGTGACAGAAAACAAAGGCAATGTTTGAATTGCCTTTTCTTCTGAAAAGAAAAACTGCACAACTATTAACCAACATTTAATAGAATAATTTTTAAACAGCTCATGCGTCAACGAGATAAAATTCTTTCTAGACAATAGACAAGACTGAATCCAATAAAAAGTTTCATAGCTACAGTTAGGGGAGTGGGGAACAAAACTACAGAATATTTATGATAGCATTACAAACAGGATCCTACGCAACTATGCAAAAGAGGTCGCCACATTGTATGAACAAACACTTTGAATTCTTGCCCTTCCGCTCTTCTCTTGTGACGTCTTATGTGCAGTCAGCCCTAGTATCACTGTTAACCACAAATGCTAAGTTATAGGACAAATCCTAGGGAAAGAAGGTTAAAAAAAAAAAAAAGCAGGCAGTGGAATACAGTGTCATAAAAATGTGGTGAAAAGGCAGATACAGTACACACATATACATTTCTGTTATTTGGTTCTGAAAAAAACAAAGGGCGAAGGGCAAGACACAGTAATCAGTCCCGCTCACATCCACCCATAATTTAATTAACTACACCATTGTGTTTACATTGTTATGAAAGAGGCAAACTTAGTTCACCCGAACTTGGCACATTGAAATACCCAACTTTGATGTTCCTCACTAGTCACCAAGTCATCAATTCCAAAATACTATTTGGAAGTAGTTTTAAGGTTCTATTCCCTCACCACTACCCCCAAATCTCTCTTTTCTAAAGGAAAATGGCAATTTGGCATAATTCAGTTCCTAGGTGTAATTTCTACAATTTCAGTCAGTTTACTAAGCACGAGGATTATGCTTCAACACATAATCCCACTTGTCTATGGAAGTGTAAAACTGTCAGTAGTACATTTTCATC